TACAGTTAGTTACCTAATCAATGTTCTATATGCAAATACCCAATATTAATAATTTATAGTTTTTCTTGCCTGGTGAGATAAATTGCTATCTTACGAATGCATTTGGTCTTCATTGCTCTGAAGTGACTGCCTCTAATCTTGTCAAAGTCGACTCCAATGGTTCTATAGTTGATCCAGGCTCTACTCAATTGGGTATCAATAAAGAAGGTTTTGCTCTACATTCAGTCATATACTCTGCCAGGCCTGATGTAAGATGTATTGTGCATGTAAATGCAATAGCTGGAGCAGCTGTATCTGCCATGAGATGTGGACTGATGCAACTTAGTCAAGAATCAATGAAAGTAAGTGAATTATAGTTCACATAAGTTGCATATTATTATCAATTATTAGGTGGGCAGAGTGTCTTATCATAAATATACCAATAACATTATGAATGACATGAACAAAAGACAGCTTCTAACTGATCTTGGCCCTGTGAATAAGGTACTGTTTCTGCATAATCAAGGCCTTCTTGCAATGGGTAGAACAGTTGAGGAAGCCTTTAGCATCTGTTACAATGTCATGAGAGCTTGTGAAATTCAGGTGGGCATAATTATTTAAGTATTTAATATTATTATTATTATAAAGGTTCAAACACTTTCGGCTGGGCGTGACTTTGCATTAGTTATTAGGGATGATTCTGTTAGAGAATTTGCTATCAGAAACAAAGAGATTAATGCTGAGAATTATGAATTAGAGTTTGAAGCTATGATGAGATTACTTGACTACTTGGTTAGAAAGACACATGCAGTGCAGAGTTGTAATACTTATAATTATATAGGGATATGATACTGGCTACCCTTATAAAAGACAGAAAATTTCTAAAGGTGAAAGAGATGATTTTCCAAAGTCAAGAACAAAGGATGAAGAGCTTAAAATTTTGTCTAATAACATAAGAAAAGAGATAAATAGAATACGTGAAGAAAGAAAGCAAGAGCTGCAGGCTTACTATGAGAGGAACTCTCAATTCCAAGTGAGTCTTTTGGTAATTGCTTTAATTTTAATTCATTAAAATGATAGGCAGTGCCGGGTATGTATGTAACTGGTCATTCTTCTACTTCTATGCATCAGAGCATGCCCGTAATGTCACCTACTGGAATAGGAAATATGCCACAGGACCAAGGGTTGCATTCAGAGCCAACAGCATCAAATGAATGGAGCTTCTTAGATAATAGAATAGCTGACAGCAGTCCAATAGGTTTTAGGAAGAGTACTAAAAATCGTCAGCATGTTCCAGCACAACTTTCAACCAGTCAACCTCAACCAATTCTTCCATCAACTACTCAGCCATTGTTCCAGTTGACAAGTCAACCAGTAATAGCATCAATTGCTGAACGAGCTCCATTAGTATATTCACCACAATTGACTGCCTCTCCTTCATTTAGTAGTGGGCCAGCTTTACCTTTGCATTATCCAGTATCAACTCTCACTGCACCACTGCATGCACCAGTAACCAATTCATTAACCTCTGAAGCATCTCTTCCATTCACCAGTGGACAGACGACATCATTCTCTCATCCTCAACCATTTCCTCCATTACATCCACCAGCATCTCTTCTTACTGCTAGCTCTAGCTCGTATTTTCCACAATCTTTTAGTGCAACTCAATCTCCTGCATCTTTGACACAATCATCTAGTATGACACACTCTTTCCCAGCAAGCAGTGTAGCCATGTTGCACATTCCATCATCAAGTACTAAAGTGTTTTCTCATCCAGCAATTTCTTTAGTCAGTCATTCAGTAGTTCCATCATCTGATCCTGGCAGTAAAGTAAAGAAGCAGCCTCACTTCATGGAGAGGGTTCAGTTTAATCCTCATGTTAGTTATGTCTCTCCTGATGATGATTCTTCTCCACCAGAAGGTCAAATCTCAAGCAGTGCTGATAATGAACCTGCTGCAACAAGCTGGTCAAGGAGATTGCGTCCCAGCTCCTCCTCCTCTTCTACTTCTACTGGATCTCCTCCTGCCTCACCTTCTTGGCAGCCAAGGGATATTAATGGAAGGCTAGATAAAGTTAAAGTGAAGGCTCAAGTTGTTGCAAGGTCAACTGGCCAGTCAGCAGAAAGACTCGCATCACATATGAAGAAGAAACAGCAGCAGCAAGGAGCTCATTCCAGCTCATCTTCTTCTATGGCAAGCCTAAGCAGTAATGGTAGCATTAAAGATAAGTCTACATTGACCAGTGGTGATATTGATGTTAATGATGATGATGAGATCACTAAGAAATTAAAAGGATTAGATAAAGTGATTCATACTGCGGAGCAGGTTGCACAATCAACTGGAGAGTCGGTTGAGAAACTATCAAAGAATTTGGTTCAATCTCCAAAGTTATTGAAAAACATAATTTAAACAGCATTGGATTTGCAATTAATTTTACATTATACAAAATTAATTTTATTTTATTATTTTGAATTTTAGCAATCTACCATAATAGATCTATTTATAGAAACATTTAATTTGAATAATTTCTTGACCCCAGCAAACATGGCTACACCTACAGATTCCTCTATTATTCCTATTGATGATCTTTCTGGCTCAGATTGCAAGTATTCTCAGGAAGAGAAGGAAGCTAGGTGTAAGCTGGCATCAGTTTATCGCTTAGTTGACATGAATAACTGGACGCAGGGGATTTATAATCATATTTCAGTCAGTTGTAATCAATTTTTAACTATGTAATGTGTTTTCTAAAAAATAGTATCATGATTATATATAATGTATATTACATATTATCATTATCATTATACTGTTGCAATGCATTTTTCATTTTTACGCTCTGTTTTAATGGAAGCAATGTTGTATGATTACAGCTCAGAGCTCCAGGAAAAGATGATCACTTCCTCCTCAATCCATTCGGACTCTTTTACTCTGAAGTAACTGCAGCTAGTCTAGTGAAGGTTGATCTAGACGGTAAAGTAGTCGATCCTGGAACTACTGACCTTGGTGTACCACATACTGGCTTTGTTATACATTCGGCGATTCATTCAGCAAGGAAGGATATCAAGTGTATCATTCATGTACATACAGGAGTAGGGATTGCAGTTGGTGCCATGAAATGTGGACTGCTCCCTCTTTCACTGGAGGCTGCTGCTCCTAGTGTAAGTACACTACTCATCCACACTGCATTGATGGGCAGAATTATTGTTGAGATTATAGTTCAATGTTTACCATTTGTCTTATAGTTTTATGCATTTTGTTTTTTGTTAGTTATAATGCTATATAAATGTTACTTGACTTTTATCCATTCCAGATTGGTGAAGTGTCATATCACGATTGTCAAGGGATCTCTGTCGACAGTAAAGAAAGAGAAGATCTTGCTGCTGATCTTGGTCCCGTGAACAATATCATGATCCTACGTAATCACGGACTCTTGGCAATGGGGGCCACCATTGAGCAGGCATGGGATAGGATGGAGACTCTAATGCTTGCCTGTGAATCACAGGTATACTGTGTCCTATGTAGTTTAGATATTTACAGTTTAAATTGTTTTTTTGTGATAGGTGAAGGCAATGAGTGCTGGCATTGGTAATTTGATTTTACTCAGTGATGAAGTAGTTGAGAAAACTCGAAAGGTGACTGATGAAGAGGTAGGGATGGTTGTAACTGAGCCTGGACTGATGAGCTTTGAGGCTAATATGAGGCTACTGGATAGAAAGGTAAGATTATCTTAATGTATAGCTGTATGATATATGTGTTGTGATTATTCTGTAGGGTTATAAAACTGGATATCAATATAAACTCTCAAAATATATTAAGAGACAATAAATCATAACTTTTTCAATAATAATTAATTATAAAAACAATTATTACAAGAAGCAGCATTACTAGTTATGCAATATAAATTTCCTAAAAATTAGTCAAGTTATCAATAAATTGGCTTCTATTCAGCTTCAGCAATTCGAAGGAACACTCTTTTAACAATATCTTTAGTGGCTGGAGGGAATTTCATCTCAAACCTGTATGAAGTGGCATTATTGACTTCACTCTGCATAAGTTGACAAGCTGCTAATGTTTCTCTTGGAATCTTTCCTCTGAAAGACTCCCAACGAGGCCTCCTCCATTCTTTACAGATACTATTGTATTTATGGTTCATGAAAAACATGGCCATTCCTTCAATTCCCATGTCTGTCTCGCCATACGTATTAGAGATTGAGAGGACTGCTGGGTCAGTCAAGTGATAGCCATTTTCATCACGAGTTCCTTGAAGATCGCACACCATTTCCTGCCCTTTCGTGTGTATCCAGCTCCAGTGGACAAATGCTGACATAATGGCATCACCAGATTTAGCCTCAGGAGATATATAGCCATAAGTGTTGACCCACTTTTAAAAATCTCCTTCCAGATAATCTTCAGCCACAACATATTCTGTTGGATAGGAATCTGATACAACATACTTATTAATGCCTGTGAAACGGATGGGGTAACAAGGATTAAGGCTTCGGTTAAATTGATGTGCTATCTTTCCAGCTCTGTTATAAATCTTTATTGTGCTGTCCCAACCATTGGCAGCCCAAACATACCGTATAGCCGCTTAATTTCGAGGGTACAACCTATGGTACAACTTTCGCTGTTTTCGCGGATTTTCCGTATTCGCGAAAGTTAATTCCGTGAAATATCCGTATTGCCCATAAACACGTGTGCTTTAAAGCAGGAACCGCGAAAGTTAATTCGCGAAAAAAGACTTGTGGCCTGATTCGCGAAAGTTTATTGCCTCGAAACTTTGTGGCTATACGCCATAGTATACGGTAGCCTGATTTTATTCTTTTTATTACACATTTCTGTCCATACTTCTCAGGAGTGATGAAACCTAATAATCCTATTATGTTTCAAAATAAATTCATTACATTTTTTTAATAACAGCCTGTGCTTCTACATGTAAGCCAAGAACTTCAATTTCCTTTTTCTAGCTCACCCCTTTTAGTTAATGGTAGTAACTCTAAATGGTAATGGTATTAAGTGTAGAATTAAATATCAACACTGTTGTGCTAGCTTGTATAGACTAACATTTTATCGTGGCATTTAATTTGAATTACTCTCTTGTTATCCAGATACATTTGTAGACATCATGTACCGTCTTTCTCAAGTGTCCTTCAGTGAAATGATGGTGCCTACAACAATGCTAAGTTTGAAAATAATTGAATAGATAATAAGTTCACGTCAAATCAAAAAACATTCATAGTATCCAGGTGGACCCTGGCTGAAGGGAATTTGATAAAACAACTTAGTTGTTATTGTATTTATCATTATTTTTATAATAATAGAATGTAAATAGTTTTTAATACCAAAAAGTCACACCAAAAATATATAAACTGCCTATTGTGCCTAATGATAAAGTGTCAATGAATATTTAAAATGATGATAAGTTTAATGAATAATAAGTTTAAATGAATAATAATGATAAGCTTAATGATTAGTTTAATGAATAATATGATAAGTTAAATGATTAGTTTTATATTGAATAATATGATAAGTTAAATGATTAGTTTTATATTGAATAATATGATTAGTTGAACTCTTATTGAGCTTGAGCAATTTGAAGGAACACTGTTTTAACGATATCTTTAGTAGCTCGAGGGAATTTCATCTCAAACCTGTAGGAGGTGGCATTGTTGACTTGGCTCTGGATAAGTTGACATGCTGTTAATGTTTCTCTTGAAATCTTTCCTTTAAAAGACTCCCAATGAGGCCTCCTCCATCCTTTACAGATACTATTGCATTCGTGGTTCATGAAAAACATTGCCATGCCCTCTATTCCCATGTCTGTCTCGCCATACGTATTAGAGATTGAGAGGACTGATGTGTCTGTCAAATGATAGCCATTTTCATCACGAGTTCCATGAAGATCGCACACCATTTCCTGCCCTTTAGTGTGTATCCAGCTCCAGTGGACAAATGCTGACATGATGGCATCGCCAGATTTAGCCTCAGGAGATATATAGCCATAATTGTTGACCCACTTTTTAAAATCTCCTTCCAAATAATCTTCAGCCACAACATATTCTGTTGGATAGGAATATGATACAACATACTTATTAATGCCTGTGAAACGGATGGGGTAACGAGGATTAAGGCTTCGGTTAAATTGATACGCTATCTTTCTAGCTCTGTTATAAATCTTTATTGTGTTGTCCCAACCATTGGCAGCCCAAACATAGCCTGATTTCATTCTTTTTATGACACATTTCTGTCCATACTTCTCAGGAGTAGTCCATTGACCTCTGTAAGCCCTTCGGAAACGTCCTTCAGCAAAATGATCTTTCTCAAATGTGGCAACACAGTAAGGATCATAAAAATACATTGCCAATAGCTAGTAGTAAACAAAAAGAAAAGCAAGAAAAGCGCCTGTATGATAATGAATAACGAGTCATTATGAGTGCCACGTGGTGTCTAATGAGCAATCAGATTGCAAACTTTCCCGGGTGAATTGCCGGGAAGTTAGTTAGAGCTAATAAGTTTACTTTAAAAAAATTATTGTTATTATTACAGAACTTATTGATTATAAAATTGTCAGATCTCATCAGCTGCTAAATTTTTGTGTACATAAAACATGAAATATTTCTACAGTTGTCTCGTGACAAGGTCGAAGGTCGTAGTCATGGTAACCAATGCTGTACTGCCCCTATATAACAAGAGAAGAATGAAATTATTAATAAAAACAAAAATAATAATGTACGGTAATACTAACTGTTGGTCTTTGAAAATAGTCCAACCCTCGTCCAATTTTAATCATCCATCCATTACTGAAGCGTATTTCCCTGTCATGGAGTGTTGAAGAATAAGAAAGAGAAAGAGTGACACTGTGGGTGGCTAGACTAGTCTTTAGTTCAGATAAATGAGTGCTTTGATCTGACTAGGACAAGAGATAAGGAAAAAGAAAGAAGGAATCAAGGATGGAGAATGGATTTATCTCATAGCATAAGTACATCAAAATGAATCAGAAAATGTAATAAAAATTGGTGGTGATTTCGGAGCCATTTTTTGAAAAAAAACATGGGCTATAGCCTTGGGTATTTTTCAAAATTGGCTTGTTTTTAAAATGCTCATAACTCGAAAAATATTTGTCGGAATCAGCTCAAACTTGCTACACACTATAAGTACATCAATATGTATCAGAAAATGTAATAAAAATTTGGGGTGGTTTCGGAGCCATTTTTTGGAAAAAACCATGGGATATAGCTTTGGGTATTTTTCAAAAATTGGCCCATTTTTTAAAATGGCCATAACTCAAAAAATATTTGTCGGAATCAGCTCAAACTTGCTACAAAGCATAAATACATCAATATGTATCAGAAAATGTAATAAAAATTGGAGGTGATTTCGGAGCCATTTTTTGGAAAAAACCATGGGCTATAGCCTTGGGTATTTTTCAGGATTTTGGCATTTTAAAAATTAACCATAACTTTAAAAATTGAAGTTGGAATCAGCTCAAACTTGCTACACACTATAAGTACATCAATATGTATCAGAAAATGTAATAAAAATTGGGGGTGATTTCGGAGCCATTTTTTGGAAAAAACCATGGGCTATAGCCTTGGGTATTTTTACAAAATTGGCTCATTTTTAAAAATGCTAACAACCCAAAAAATATTTGTTGGAATTAGCTCAAACTTGCTACATAGCATGAGTACATCAATATGTATATAATTATTATTACAGAAATAAGATTACATATTATCATTACTATTACAATACATTACTTGATTACCTCTCCTACTCCAGTTAATAATGAAATTGACTTAAGCATTGGTAGACAATTCTTTACTAACATTTCACAGAATCTAACAAAATTATGAACCTACCAGAAAATAAATCACATGACAATCACATGAGGATCACATGTGATTACCTGATGATTGTATCTGATGTAAGGATCCTCTACCTCCACCCAGGTGATTCCTCCTTTCTCTAAGCACGACTTANAGATTGTGTAATAACTATAGCCAGTAGCTCCCTCAGGAATATGAAGATACTTTACTTGTTGCTTTGATTGCACTGGAAAATTAGACAAAAATAATAACTGTTATCGACCAAGATTTACAAGTATTATACATATACAATAGGCAACATAACTACATGGATAATGAAGTATTATTTGTAATTGAAAGTAGCTCAAACTTTCTATGATTTAAACACAAAATAACCATACAATCCAATGGTAGACTACAATGCCATGATACAGTCCCTTTACATGTTAGACTACCTTTCTCTGTTTTTGCTCTTTTCTTTATTTCCTCTGCACGAGCAAGATAACTCTCAGCTCTCTTTCTTATATCTTTAACTTCAGCCTCAGGTCTGTGTGTCATTAATGAAAGCAGTCATAATCATATACATCTATAGATCAACCTTCCTTCCATTGCTCTCAGTAGGTTTTGTATTCCTTCCTCGTAGCATATTAAAGCTTCTGAATATTTCTCTGATTTATCAAGCTCAACAGCTCTTTTTAATAAATCCTTAGCTGCCTCCATGTTCAGAGAAGGCGTGGCTCAGTTTTATAAATAAAATAAGTAATTATAATTTATAAATATAATAAAAGTAATAATGTGCCAATAAAATATTCTTTCTAGCAATTAATTTCATTTTTTCTTTTTGCTTTTAGTTTTATGTTGCGGCTTGGGTATGTCTTCATTTTGTCTTTGCGGAGTTGCTCTATCACTTATTGAAGACGATTTGCTCTCTTGGTCATGTTTTCTTTTATCTAATACATGCAAATATTCATAAAAGTTGCTTTCAACCAAATTCAAACCTTCAAGTTCTTGCTTAAGCTGTTTTAATTCTTTTTTCAATAAATCATTCTCTATTGAGTTAAAATACAAATTAGAATCACTTCAAAAATTTATAATGATACCTTCTTCCAAAGTTTTGATCCGTCCATTCTTTTCTATTATAAATAATAACGGTCTAGAATTATAGAAAACTATAATTACATGTACCTGTTTCTAGCTTTTCAAGTCTTTCTTCAATAAGTGACAGTTGCCTTGTAGTTGCTAATTAAAGTAATAAATATTATTTATCATTGTATTGATGCACCTTCTGGTTTGTCTGATTGATGGTTATTTTGCTGTAACTCTCCTCCAGCTTTGCATTCATCTTCCATTTCAGTCTCTAGATAATAATCAAAGGTGGTCACAAATACATCTGCATGCAATGTCATGCATGCATACTTGCAACAGTGTCTTTTTCCAAAGATGCATCTTGTCCATCATTAGAAAGAACGACTTTCTGCTCAACTTTTTTCCTATTTATAAAAATAACTATTAATGTAATAACTACATGTATGTATAACCACCTTTTAAACTTAGGCAAAATTCGATGCTTGGAGTTGGATATAGATTTAAGTTTAGTGCACAATTCCAAATATTTATGCCAGCATTGTGTAGTATTGCCACCACGGTCAGGATGAGAGAGTGTGTCAAGCTCAAACTGCTTAACTTCGTCTGGACTTCCAATTGCAACCACACGAAATTTAGCTCGAGTTATCGCTGTATTAAAAACATAAGGATTGAACAGGCTTTTAATATAGGAGACATTCATTTCATCATCATCTTCTACCAGCTCAAATAGACTTAAAAAGATAGCTTGAAACTCATGACCTATTATAATTTGAAAAATGGGATGGCTATTAATAGTCTATAGCTCTCACCTTGTATAATAAAAGAAGGATTAAAGCTAACTTCTCTCACAGCTTCATATTCTTTGTATCTAAAAGCCATGGTTTTGATGCGATTTAACTGCTCAATAGTTAGAACAAGAACAAAATAAATCTATAATGTACCTGCTTCCTTGTTGATGTGATAATGCAAACATCATGTCGAGGATTAAATTTGGGATTGATATGCTTCATTCTTTCCAAGTAACTTCGAACCTCTTCCAAGACAATGCATGCCTCAACCCATTGCTGATCTGGATCATCAAATTGCTCAATCAGTCTTGAGTCAGCAGACACAAAACTATAGCCAGTAGGGCCACTGCATTTCTGAAGAACCTTGTCAGTATTCAACTCCAAATTCTCATAGAATAGATTTGGCAAATGTATCAATGAATTATGTGATCGATAATTCACTGACAATTTAGTGACGTAACTTGCTGCCACTTGTCCTATCTTTTTATATCTCATCAACA